CTGGTGGCGCGACCTATCCGAGTTTAGTTTCACCACTGAGCACATCAAGGGTGAGACTAATCGGGTCGCAGATGCCCTATCCCGGCGCCCTGACCACGACCAGGAGCACATCCAGCTCTCTTCCATCTCGGTCACCATCGTCCACCACTCGGTGATCGACGAGTTTCGCACTCAGTACCGCCACTGCCCCGACTATCGCGACATCCACGCGACCCTTCGGGGTGGCAAGACCGTCCCAAACTACTCTCTCGAGGACAACAGTCTTGTGTACTGGCATGGTTCATAGGGCACCAGAGAGCCCCGTATTTGCATTCCCTCCACTGGACAGCTACGTGTCCGAGCAGTAGCAGAGTTCCATGACCAGGCAGTTGTCGGTCATATGGGCTTCCACAAGATGTTGGCTCGTGTGAGCCGCCTGTACGTCTGGCCGAAGCGCAAGGACTTTGTGAAGGACTACGTCGCAGAGTGTCCCACCTGTCAGGAGGTGAACAGTGCGAACCACCTACCTTATGGTTTGCTCCAGCCTCTTCCTATCCCTGAGGGTCGTTGGAAGTCCATCTCGATGGACTTTATCGGTCCCCTTCGTCCTCCGACCCCTCGCGGTCATGATGCTATCCTGGTCGTCGTCGACCGCTTCACGAAGCGTGCACGCTTTGTTCCGTGCCGCTATGCAATCAGTGCATGTGAGGTCGCCGACATCGTATTTGACCGAGTCGTGCGTGACCACGGCTTACCTCGAAGCATCATATCTGACCGTGACCCGCGCTTTACCAGTCGATTCTGGCGACGGCTCCACAAGGTTTGCGGCACTCAGCTCCACTTCTCCTCGTCTTACCATCCTCAGACTGATGGTCAGACTGAGATCACGAACAGGACTCTCGGAGATATTCTCCGAAAGATTGTTCGTGACGACCAGCAGTGGGATCTCCATCTTGCCCACGCGAAGATAGCCTACAACCACGCCGTCTCGCCAGCCACGGGGATGTCGCCTTACTATTGCGACCTCGGCTACCATCCTCGTGTTCCCGCGGACTACCTTCGACTGTCCCAGTTGCATCCCGGCACGAGTTGTCCTGCGCTGGATGATTGGGTTGCACACATGACGTCGATCATGAAGACCGCACATGAGCACATAGCCGCTTCCCAGACTCGCATGGCAGCACGTGCGAACCGATTGAGGATGGATCATGCATTCAAAGTCGGTGATGATGTGCTTATCGACGCCCGTCACTTACAACTCGAAGCGGACACGCTTCGCAAGTTTCGGCGTCGCTTCTTTGGCTCATGCCGCATCCTCTAGGCCGTCGGTTCTGATACGGCATCTAGCCCGGTCAGCTTTCGTGTGAAGCTGCCCGACTACCTACGCCAGGCTCGTATGCACGATGTCTACCACGTCTCGTTACTGCGTCCTTACCGCAGACCGTCTGAGCGTTTCGTTGGACGACCATACGAGCGCCCTCCACCCATCATGGTGGACGATCACGAGGAGTTCCTCATTTCAGACATCATTGGTCGTCGAGTCACCGACGACAACCCTCCCCACGTCGAGTATCTCATACGTTGGAAGGGTTACCCTGATGAGGAGGCTACCTGGGAGCCCCTCGAGCACTTGCAGCACACTCGCATGTTGGTGCGTGCCTATGACTGTGCTCGTCGTGTTGGGTTCACTGCTCCTCCTCAGTCCACTGACCCTCCTCCTTCTCCTCCGGCTGAGGAGACTGCTGAAGTCGAGCCTTCTCCATCTGAGGAAGACCTTCAGCAGCAGCCGGATGCTTCTGATTGCCCACAGCGCACTCGTTGTCGTCCTGCTCGATACGACGATTGACTCTGACTTACCTTCCCACGTCTTTGACTTCTCAGTACTCCATCCACATCAGTTTTGCTACTTCAGCTCGTCGACGCTGCGGCTCTTCCTCGACGGCATTCCGGACTTCTCATCGTGGACGTCATCGGCAGCTTCATGGACTTCATCACGATCAGCTCTGCCTACTTCAGACGTCACCACTCTCTTACCACTCTACTCTGTACAGTACCCTGCTTGTGTCGCATGATGGTCTCCCTTTAGCCGGGTTCCTCTGAGTTGGGCTCTCCCTTAGTATACGCATAGGCATCGGGACCGTAGCGTTGCCCTGGCTTCCCATCTTACGGATCTAGCTCCGACTTCCCTCACTTTAGGAGTCATTTGCATGATTCCCTTACCCATCATCTTTCTACCCTTCGCCGGCCTTTACGCCCTAGTTAGGCAGCCCCGCATGCTTCATCTAGGTGCGCCCAGTATACCAGGCTCCCTTATTCCCATGGTCGGCCCTCCATAACGGTCACCCCTTAGTCAAGCATTACCCGCCCTGATGGTCTATCTGTTAGGGTCATTGGTTCTGTTCGCTTTGAGTTCCCTACCCTCATTGAGCCTGATGACATGTGTCTCCCTGTTATTTATGTGTGGATGCCCTTAGGAGTTTTCGACCCCTAGGCTGCATTCGCCACCCTCAGAGACCATCCCACCCTTTGGTTTGCGACACACTTCTCATGTGACATATGATTGACTTGTTGTTGCTTTGTTGCTCTCAGACTGAGGCTACTGCCTCTGACATTTCTAGGATTTAGTTGTTCTGCTTTTGCTGTTCTTAGGACTTATACACTAGTCAGTTGTTCCCAGACTGAGGCTACTGCCTCCAACATTCTAGGATCTAGTTGTCACTACTTTCTGCTTTCCTAGGACATGTATGCTAGTTAGTTGCTTTTGCTTTCCTAGGACATGTATGCCAGTTAGTTGTTTTAGCTTTTACTTAGGCTGTTAGCTGTGACATTGTTGTTTTGTGACATTTTATATCCTAGGTTGCATCGCATGGACTCCGCATGGAGCTTGCTCCGCATCCTAGACTACTCAGGTTTCTTTTCTTTGGTAGAGTTCCGCTTTTTGGCGGAAGCGTGCTTGTATCTAGGCGATCCATCACAGGCCGAGGATCGTGTAGCGGACCTCCGGTGGGCCTGTGAGACCAGCCCCTTGGCCTGTTCTCACAGGCCTGTGTTTTATTCGGGACAGTCCAGTCCAGGCCGGTACCTCTGTCGGTACCAGCCAGTCCAGTCCAAGTCCCGTCAGTCTGCTGGGGTATACCCCAGCCTTTGTCTGTTTTCGAGCTCATTCGGGACTTGCACATTTTGGAGTACGTGCGTTGGAGTCTTGCGTGGGGAGCTGCGTTGTGCCATCTCGCTCCCCCCTTCTTCCTCCATCTCCATCTCTACCACTAGCGGAGCACCACACCTGGTGGGTCCGCTACAGATAGGGTAGCCATCGGATTAGCTCCGACGAGGGATTTCTTTGCCGACCAATTCTTGTAGTTTTTCTTTTTTTGCCTGGCCTCCTCTGTGGCTGCCGTCCTCAAATCAATCTGTGCTTCCTCGATCGGGATAGCTGGTCCGCCCTGGCGGCTTCTTTCGTTTGAGGTGCCAGCTCCATCATTAGCTGCTTCTAGGACTTGTCTTGACTGCTCATCCTCAGTGGGAAGCGCAGTCCCGGTGTTCATTCGCAGCTTCTTACTGGGTTCAACATAAGTAAGTGCCTTATCAAGCTGACCGAACTCTATCTCTCCTTCTCATAACAGACCTGGAACATTGAAGTCCAGGTAATCGTTCTGAGAGGGGGGTATATGCCGGAAGGGATCTCGTCGATATCGACTCATGCTTTCTTCTACGTCCGACTTCACTTCCGACTCAGAGCGGGGCGTGGTCGAATTTTCTGATACCATCTCCTGGTCGCTGTCAATCCCGATATCAGCTTCCCTTTCTTGCATGGACAAGCCTACTATAGGACGCTGGACCTGTTTTTTCTTGCAGGGATTCTGAGTCTTGGCCTCAAAATCCAAGTAGAATTGTTTTGTTTTTCTTTTTTGGTTTTTTTTTTTTGGGAAAAAGCAAGGAATCCATTTTCATGAAACATGAGGCTAAAAAAAAAAAAAACATGAGGCCGGGAATTCCTCACAAACAACCCGGAAATGAATCGGTCACACCTGGGACCATTACCCAGAATAGGTTTGTGGGCTTTTACCCCAACAACACTCAGGTAGAATTGTGAGGTCAATCCTGGATAACTCCGACTGCTGCCCCCTCACTGAGATCTCTCGTCCTCACCTGTTGACATCGATACGCTGGTTTGTTTGCACGCAGCATTAGCACGAATAAACAAGGGATTTAGCATCTTCGATTCTCTACGGTCCACAGGCTGAGCTCTAGGCAATTTGCATCTAACCGAATTCATACTAAGGCCTGTTTTCTATTTCTCCTCTAGCCTGGGCTGTAGTGTAGTTTTCTTCGCGTTTTGCATCTGACCGGATTTACAGACCAGGTCCCTGCTCCCCTCTATCTCTAGGCTCTAGCTGTACCACGCTAGCACACGCCTCTCCGTTGAAGGAACAAAATGTTTGTCCGAGGTTGGCTTCACTACAGTGTGAACTTAAGAGTGCTGGTGCTCTTTCTGTTGCTTGGCTTCACTACGGTGTGAACTTAGATTGTTGGTGTTCCTTCTCTTGCTTGGCTTCATTACGGTGTAAACTTAGATTGTTGGTGTTCTTTCCTTTGCTTGGTTGCCTCTAGTTTGTAACACACATGATAGTTCCTTGCTAAGTTCTTCTCCTTTGGTATCTATACCGGGCTTGTCCGTAGCAGGCAACGAAACGACTGGAGGTAGTGGGACACCTACTAGTGGTTGTGGCCGCGTTGCTGAGCTACTTAGGGCATGGCCGATTAGCATTTAGCTGATAAAAGAGCAAATCTGGGTTGTACCCATTGAGATCTAGAGTACCTGGAATACGGTACTCCCTACAGAGTCTCAAAGGTACAAGGTAGGAAACCTTGTCATGACCACCCAGGCTCAGGCTCCACACTGCTATTCGCTGGTCCTACGGGCCTCTCTTTTGGTTTTGATGGATCTTCCTTCGGATTTCTGCAAATCACCTGCTCCAGATAGAACTCTGTCTTTTGCTTTAGATCCTTGGGTATTTGTCCTTTCTTGGCTAGTCACATTAGGCTATGGTCTCCTGCCATTGTAAGCAAGGTCTCTTCATTGGAGTTAGTCCCATAACTGTAATATCTTTATAAGCCAAGCTGGGTAAGGCTCCCAGTCAGAATAGCAGAATAACTCGTTAATTTGCGTAGTGGTTGCCTCTCTTATTTCTGGTTTTGGAATTTGTTAGTTCAGATGCTATTTTCCTTTTTTTTTGGTTGAAGTTGGCGTACATGGGACACTGGAAACCGGGGGCGTGGTCCCACTAGCAAAGAGGATAGGATCGAATTGCTGAATAGGGACAAGTTTATGGAGATGTGCAGGAAATCGAGATTGAACTGCTTTTCTGCATCTCTGCATAAAACACATCCAGATTCAGGAGCTCTATTCTATCCTCTTTGCTAGTGGGACCTCGCCCCCGGTTTCCAGTAAAGCCTAAACTGGGTATTGGCCCCAGGAATTCCGGGTTGAGATGTTGAGGGATTCCCGGCCTCAGTTCTCCAATTTTTTTTTTTTTTACTGCGACTTCAAATTGAAAAAAAAAAGAAAAAAAAAAAGAAAAAGAATTGTGAGCCTCGAAGCTTATTATTCAAAAAAAAAAAAAAACGGCCTCCACGCTGGCTGGATGGAAGAGTGGACAGATCTCGCTGGCACCACTGCAGTACCACTGCGCTGACAAAGCTCGGAAGCAGTCTGTCTGACCGACAGGAAAGGTCGGCGGCGCCGAAGAGATCCTCCGATCCCGCTGTAATAATCAGAATCATCGAAATCCATGAGCAGGAGTGCGCTTTGGGCCTCGCTCCTCTACACAACACAACACTCTAAATGCAATGCATTTGGACGCCGGGTTGGACCAGCTGCGTTTGCAGGAGTCCAACATATGGAATGTATGGGGCGACAAGGTCAAGATACACATTTGTCTCGATGTGACCGCCGAGGGGTGCCAATGCGAAGAAGGGGATCTCGAGGGAGGGGAGAACGGGTGCAAGAGCAAAAGGGGCGGAGAAAAGAAAGAAGGGGGACGAGAGGGAAAAGGGGGAAATAGACTGGAGCTTTGTTTGGTATAAAAAAAAAAAAAAAAAAAACCAGAACATCCCTCGTGGGTTGGCCAAGTGAGGACACGTGTCCAAGTCCCGTAGGAAGGTAGTGAAACGCAAAAAAAACTTGAGAGAAGAACTACCGTAGCGGGTGAAAAAAAAAAAAAAAAAAAAAAGAACAAGCGGGGTTGATCCTTTCTTTCTTGTAGTATCTTTTTTCTTTGTTTTCTCGTGCAGTAATCCTTTCGGACATGGCCGTCTTCAGGTGAGTGGCTGGTCGGCTAACCGCCCGATGATTATGGCTGTATCTGGACCGACAGGTGGCCAAAATGCAGTTATTTTGACCGTGCGTTTTATTCGGGTGGCGACGACAGTCTCTCCCAGCCTTCCGATCTTGAAACAAATATCTCACGGCCAATCTGTGGCCACGAGGAGGAACCCCTTTCGTTTTTTATTTTTTTATTTTTTTTAATGGGGTGATCACAACTGTCTATATCCTTCTCTCAACTTCTGTTTTTGTTTACCTTCTACTACCTACTCCTAAGACTATCTAGAGGGGACCCCTGCAAGCATAGTTTTCCTCTCTCTGTGAAGGGGGGATTTCATGTTGCCCCTCGCCCCTAATGGTTAGGGTATAGGGTTGGGGCCGATAGTGGGGGTCTGGCTAACACAAAGACCGAGACCTGCCAGTAGCTGTGCCTCCCTTTCTCATCGTTCCCCACCCTTCATCGAGTAGAAGCAGAGGCTATGGCCAACACTCTCCCACACACCACACACAACCCGCTCGCGCTCACACTCACACCCGTGTTGGTCATAGACCCCGCTAATACCCATCAGGGGGATCCAGAGGACTATCACAGTCCGTTGGCATTTCACTTTTTATTGTTTTTTCATTTTCTACTGGGGAACTAATCGATCGAGGTGCTACCGCCGAGGCGGAATTCCACTGACGCTGACTGAGCTGCAGCAGCAGGCAGGGCAAGGACCAGGTTCGAAAATCATGAACCTGACCTGATTGTCGGACGAGATTCATGCCTTCCAAGCCTGAACATAACACCGTTGCGCCTGGTGCTCAAGGTCGCTCTGGAGGAATTCGGTGTCAGCCGTCAGGGGTGACGTCCCACTAGCAAAAAGGTATAGGATTGAGCTCCTGAATCTGGACGTGTTTGAGCAGAGATCGATCGGTCGGCTCCAGTTGAAGCCCTTTTGTGTTTTTTTCTCTTTTTCTCGAAAGGTGAAGCAGCAGAGCCTCACCCATTGCTCCGGAAAAAAAAAAAAAAAAAAAAAAAAAAAAAAAAAAAAAAAAAAAAAAAAAAAAAAAAAAAAAAAAAAAAAAAAAAAAAAAACCCTCACCCCTCAGTTGGAGCAGCCCAAACCCCACCTTTCTACCGTGGCCAAGTCCCAAATACCGGAGTTCTAGATTCTGACCGTAGATTAAGAATATCAACGGCCAGAAATGAACAATCAGCGCGAGTGGGACTTGGGCCTGGGCTTGGGGGCCAAGTCCCCCTCTTAGCAGCGTTGAGTTTCCGCAACGGGCGAATATGGACGTGTTTGTGGAGATGTGCAGAAAATGACGTTGAGTTCCTCAACCGCACATTCCCACAAATACGTCCAGATTCGTGTGTTGAGGAAACTCAACTCTGCTACGGGTAGTGGGAGTTGGCCTGGGGTTGAGGTCCCACCAACCGTGATTGTTCCCTTTTGCCCGTTCTTTACATAGGGTCGATGGCTGGCAGCCCAGCATCACAGCATCACAGCATCAAATAAAACACCCCCTGAATCTCGATTTCCTGCACGTCTCCATAAACTCGTCCAGATTCAGGCATTCGATCCGATCCTCTTTGCTAGTGGGACCACGCCCCAGAGGCACAGAAAACAAAACACCCCCTGCTGGGCATAAAAAAATAAATGGAAAAACAAAGGGCACATCCGGCTAGTAGGTAAAGCCCCCCCCCCCTCCCCCCCCCCCGCCCGTACGCAACGCCGCCAAAATATAATTCAGCAAGAAAAAGGGGAGCAAAAAGGACAAACAGCAAAACAGTCGGTCACTCAGTCAGCTGCATACGGACAAAACTGAAAAACTACAGCCGAAACGGGAAAAGGACCATGGAAAATACTATGTGATGTGGCGCAGCAACTATGACGATGACCATACCACCGCGGTGATGGTGATGAAGGAACAAGGTGCATGTCCCTCTCTATCCTTTCTCTCCTTTCTCTCCTCTCTCTCCTCTCTTTCCTCTCTCTCCTTTCTCTCTTCTCTCTCCTCTCTCATCTACCGAGTCCCTTCTCTCTTGTTGTATTGTAGTCTACCCTCTCCTCATTACTACCTACCTCTTCCTGTTCCAATCTCTCTCTCTTCTCTCTCCTCTCTCTCTTCTCTCTCTCTTCTCTCTCCTCGCTCTCTTCTTTCTCCTCTCATCTACCGAGTCCCTTCTCCTTGTTGTAAACTAGGCCACCCACTCTCGTTACTACCTACCTACCGTTTCCTGTCCTGACCGGGGGTAGGAGGTACGGGGGGGGGGTAGGTAGTCGGTCCTCCTTGCGCAACGCTTTCCCCCTCCCTTTTCTTCTCTGCTCCCAGCCCCTGGTAGTCCTCTCACGCCGCTCTTCCCAATGCGTTCGAGCTGCCTCCGCTATGCTACGCACCATGCCGTTCTGTCCCCGATCTCAATCCCAATCCCAATCCCGATTGCGACTGCCCCAAAGAGCGAACGAGATCAGACACCCTCCCAACCAATCTCGACGAGGTGCCCGGATTCCGCGATCCCGACCAGGCCCTGTCCATACCGACCCCCTTTCCCCTTCGACACTCCGACACTTCGACTCTTCGTCTTTCGGGGAGCACTTTCTGGCGCCATGCCTTCCCTGAACGTATCTGACCAGTATTGCCGCAAAAATTCAGTCGAAAGTCTTCCGCTCGAACAGCTGACCAGAGAAGACAAAACAGACGCCCACGTACCCGCCAGACCATTCTTTTTCCCCCCTTTCTGTTCGTAGAGGGTGGGGGAGTAAAGCACTCACCTCCTCCTCCCACTCACCTCCACCTCCCCTTCTCCAAAACTCCCAGACAGACAGGACTGCACCCAGAACGAGATAGAGAGAGTCCATGTGGAACGCAACGATGCTGATGGCCATAACACCACAGGTTCATCTGGATCGCGGCGGTGATCGCCATCGCGTCGACGAAGAAGAAGATCCAGGTTCATCTCTCATCTGAAGTCCTCCTCCTCCTCCTCCTCCTCCTCCTCCTCCTCCTCCTCCTCTCTTCCTCTTAACCTCTCCGTCTCCTAACCCTTCTCACTTCCTCTTACATCTCCACTTCCTTCTCTTCCTCCTCTTCTTCCTCCTCCCTCTCCTCCTCCTCCTCCTCCTCTCTTCCTGTTGAAGCTCTCCTCACCGCTCGCTCTTCGACCTCCTCCTCCTCCTCCTCCTCCTCCTCCTCCATCTCCTCCTCCTCCTCCATCTCCTCCTCCTCCTCCTCCTCCTCCTCTTCATCCTCTTCCTCCTCCTCCTCCTCTCCCTCGGCGTCAACTTCGTCGTTGTCGTGCGCCGGCTTCCCCTTCTCCAGTTCCTCCTGCCTTTTCCCTTACTGTGCCATCCCGATCGCGACAGACCAGTGGTCCTGATCGCCATTTCCTGCCCCGACTAACCCAATCCCCCCCCCCCCCCCCCCCCCCCCCC